GAGGAGCTGTTTTTCATGGCAGAAATACACTCGGAGGTTTGCCATTGCCTGCCGAGCGGCGACCGCTGCTAAGAAAAAACCTTTTTTCTAAATTTTTTCGCGATGTTGCTTTGACCAGGGCTTGAACCCAGGCACTGCTGAGTGGAAGCGCGCACTGCTTACCACTACACCACAGCGGCCGTTATAAACAGCCGCAAAAAAGTGGAAGGTGTAACACTAACTGCCGGAGGGAGTGGAATCTCATCGAAGCCATACGTAACATACCTCGGGGTATTGATAGATCATCGATTATGCTTCCGTGATCATCTCAACTACTTCAACTACTCCAGACTGATGGCAGACATTGGGGGACCTAAGCAGCAGTTTAGACTAGTACTAGCAGGGGTAGTTAAATCCATACTCATGTACGGATGTACAATCTGGTACGACGCATTTAAAATAGAGAGGGAGTTATGACTATGAAAATAGAAAGTAAAAAACAGATACCTCGTGTTGAAAGCACAAAGGATCTAAAACCAAAAAAACTATAAATAATGAATCATAAAAAATGTATGATTCGAAAAATAATTTTGAAATATTGTAAAATTTTATTTTTTGTTTGGTTTTTTAAAGTTAAAGTTTTACTTACTTACAATAACGAACATAAGTATTGGCACAGTGAATTTTTCGCAATATTGGCAAAGTATTTTTTAGAAAAATTCCAAGTATGCAGATTAAAAATCCATTCAATTTTAGTTTATCAAAGTGCAAGTTTGAAGTTGGTTGAAAATATGAATATAAAATTGCAAATTCGTGGGCAGATTTATTGAATTTTCCTGAGTTTTTCACAAAGTTTACACATTTGATATTTATGCGTTTTGGTGTAGTATGAACTATGTTTTTATAGAAAATTATCGGAAATAAATTAAAAACTTTGCATATATGTAATGCGAAAATTCACTGTGCCAAAACTTTTGTTCGACAATGTATATATATCTGTAATTTGCTTTGTAGAGCAATCTTGCGGTTCTTTAAATAAAAAATAGATATCAGAAATTAATTTTTCGTATCAATAAACTCCCAAGCACAGGTTTGTTTAAAAAACAAAAAAAAACATCCGTAACACTTTATTAAATATTGATCTGTGGTTTCAAACAAATCCAATCATTTAAAAAATATGGACCGCCATTTTGGATCCGCCATTTTGAATTTCGAAAAACTGACTTCAGATTCCTAATTAGCAACCCCATAAACCCCCTGGTAACAAGTTCCAACCCATGACAATGCGTAAATCGTTCAGTATCAACGTTTTAATTTTACTAGTGTCTTTTCGAGAGCATATTTTCGGGAACTAGACCAATTCTAATTGTCCAAGACAGGTGCGTAATTAAAGGAAAGTTCCCCAATAATACCAGAGTAATTATATGTAAAAAACTAATTTTTAGCTGCACTTTAACATGTCAAGAAAATAAAAAAATTTAAACCTCAGCGTTTTTATAAAAAACTCCTAAGAAAACTTTTTTTTTTCAAAATAAAATATACGTGTCTCTTTTTTATCACAAATAACCATATTTTGATGTAGCGATCATGAATTTCGAAAAATTGTGTTTTTATGAACCACTCTAATCCGCATATTTTATCAATTCGTCGGAATATTTTTTTATGTATGTTACCGCATAACTTTGGACTACGTTACCCGTTTTCTATAATTATTATATTTTTAAGGGAAAAGTGGTTCCTCAGAGGTAGTCTGCTACTAATTGAGGGTAGATCCGATAATTGGGCCATGAAGAAATTAACGGTACTCGTAAATTTGTATATGAGAATTGAAGTCGGTTTTGATTTTTGTTTAAAATTTACTCCAGTGTACAAAGCTTCTCTAAAAGAGTCATAGGCCACATTTTTTTTAGTTCAATTGTGGAACATTTCTATAACCAGCTTCGGCTAATACTTCGGCTTCGGGTGGCAACCCGACTCAAAAATATGTTCAGCAGTAAGCTTTCTTAAACCTTTTTAATTTGATAACCATATTGCAATATTTACTTCATCTTACCCATTTAATTTAATTAAATTTTAAAACAGGTGGCAACCCCCCTCAAAAATATTTTCGCCTGTAAGCCTTCTTTCTTTTGCACCCATATTGTGATAATATCACAATTTATTAATTTATGTAATTAATTTACTTATACTGAAAGTTTTAAACAGGTGGCAACTCTCTATTTTTCTGGTTTTAACCATCCGAATATTATAAAAACAAACTACAAAAATAAAAATATTCAAATCGGTCAAGTCGTTTTCGAGTCTTAGCGAGACTAACGGACAGCAATTAATTTCGACAATTGACATTCGAGCTATGGTCTGGAGGAATTTTTTTCTTAGAATTTTATGAAGAATCCGGATATGCTAGGAACGATGTCGAAGAAAATCGATTCATACAAATTGACCCGCCCTAAGGTACATATATATATGGCAATCAGTGCGGCACAAGATTGGCTATGTGCGAGATCCCTCACACTTGCAACGCACAAAACAGAAGCAGTTCTTATAATAATAATAATAATAGATTGGTGCTTACACATATGTTAGTGTTTCGCCGAGCTTCTCCTCCGATTTGCGGCGTGCGCCTTGATGTTGTCACAAAAAGTGGAGGGACCTACAGTTTTACGCCGACTCCAAACGGCGATTGTATTTATATGAGGAGCTGTTTTTCATGGCAGAAATACACTCGGAGGTTTGCCATTGCCTGCCGAGCGGCGACCACTGCTAAGAAAAAACCTTTTTTCTAAATTTATTTGCGATGTTGCTTTGACCAGGGCTTGAACCCAGGCGCTGCGGAGTGGAAGCGCGCACTGCTTACCACTACACCACAGCGGCCGTTATAATCAGCCGCAAAAAAGTGGAAGGTGTAACACTAACTGTCGGAGGTAGTGGCATCTCATCAAAGCCCTACGTAAAATACCTCGGGGTATTGATAGATCATCGTTTATGATTCCGAGATCATCTCAACTACTTCAACGAGAAGGCGGCGAGCGTGACGTCATCTTTGACCAGACTGATGGCAGACATTGGGAGCCTAAGCAGCAGTTTAGACTAGTAC